CACACAATGCATCCATTACACACACACAAAGACAATGCAACCCTTACACACAAAGACAATGCATCCTTTGCACACATACACAGAAACAGACAATGCAAACCCGTACACACGCATGCAAACACACACTTCTTTTCTTACATACACACAGAAACACAATGCATCTCATGCACACACATACAGACACACACCTTGCATCACTTATGCATACAAACACAGATTCACACAATGCATCCCTTACACACAACCAGAAACACATAATACATCCTTATACACAAATACACACTGCTTCCACTACACACAAACACACTACATCACCTGCACAAACTGGTAACCCTATACACTACATACCATAAGCACACATATTAGATCCTCTACAATAACACATAACACATCCCCTACACACTCCACTCCCTGTGAGCGAACTCATGGGTGGGTGGAACTTATGAGTGGGCCTTATGGGCATACTCACCGTCAGGCCCTGGGGCCCAGACCTTGAGCTGTGTAAGGGGCCCCAAAAAATGGAGCTGCTTCCAATTCTCCCAGAACATTGAATTTTGTGACCACAGTTGCAAACAGCTCCAGAGATCCTGTTCTACACCAGACCAGTGGAGCCAAACTGCAGCCCATCATCATCCTCATCTGCTTGTAAGTAGGCAATCTAGTATATTATTAGTGACACTAATCTATAATTTACCTCACATTAAAGGGACACTATAGCTTAATGAAGTGGATATGGCTTTAGTTCATATGGCAGATCATATGGGTGGGGCATTGTGATGTGACATGTGGGGGCAGCAAATTTTTATTTTGTCTAGGGCGGCAAAAATCCTTGCACCGGCTCTGATCCTGGGCAGGTGCACCAGTCTACTTGACTGGTTTTGCCCCCCAGGCCTAAGGCTGCCAGCCCTCCCCTGGCCGCTGGGGAGGTCTTTTGGCGGCCGCTGGCGGACTTGTCCTGGCGGCCGCTGAGGGAGCTGCGCGAGCTGCGCTGGCTCTGCTCCCCAGCACGCAGCTGAATGAGACCGGCGCCGGAATATGACGTCATATTCCGGCGCCAGTCTCATTCAGCAGCGCGCGAGGGCGGGAGGGCACTAACACAGGAAGCACCTCTAGTGACCGTCTGAGTGACTGTCACTAGCAGTGTCACTTTGAAGCAATGTAAACACTGCCTTTTGTCTGAAAAGTCAGTGTTTACATTGAAAACCTGTAGGGACATGCTATAGACACCAGTACCACCACATTAAGCTGTGTGTGTGCGTCTGCTAGTGAGTGTGCTTGCTTGCATGCGTGTGCCTGCTACTGAGTGAGCTTGTGTTTTTATGTCAATGAGCTGATGTATATCAGTAAGATTGTTTGTCTATGAGGCTGTGTATCAATGAGCTTGTGTGTGTCACTGAAATGTCAGTGAAATTGCCTGTGTCTGCATGTGCGTATGCTTACTGTATAATTAAACGTTTTACCCTGAAAGGACCAATATTTTATATTAGAAAAAGCAATATATATATATATATATATATATATATATATATATTACTCAATCATCTGTCCTGGCAAGACATAGCCTTACATATTACACGCGACAATATATGGCGCAGTGACTTATGGGGCTGGCACAAATTTTTTTTCCAGGGCTGCTTTGTATCCCCAGTCTGGCCCTGGTTATAGGGTATTGAAGTAGTTGCAGAGGAAAGAACCAAACTGTACAAATGTAGCACAAATTTATAATGGAGGAAGTCAGATGCAGAATGAGATTTTCAGCAGTTCTGGAGCATTTTTGGAGGTACCTATGTAACTGGGGTCGCTTACAATGTTTAACTGCATGTCGTGCCATGAAATTCTGTTCAGAGAAGAGGGTGGAGTCATAGCTGTAGGTTGAAGAACTATAAAAAGTGAGGTTGGAAATAGGTAAAAAAAAAAAAGGAGAGCTTGGTGGAGAATTGTTGTAAGTCAAGACAGTGCAGGTTTCTGTGAGATTGATGTACCAAGTGTGGTATAATTTGGGTACAGGGTATGCCGATGTCAAAGGTCAGCAGATGTGGTCAGGTAGATTGGTTATAGTTCAACGGACTCTCATTGAGAGCATTTAATTGGCACAGTGCGGCATTTTGCCATGCATTCACATTAGGCTCCCAATGCTTTCCTATGGGGAAGCATTGAATTGGCAGGGGTCATCAACACTGAAGCAAGATTTAACCCCTTAAGGACACATGACATGTGTGACATGTCATGATTCCCTTTTATTACAGAAGTTTGGTCCTTAAGGGGTTAAGATTAGTAAACCTTTTTTAACTGCTACAAGGGAGATAGGTAGAACACTAGAGCGTTAGGAATACGCTTGTATTCCAAATTGCTATAGTGTTCCTTTAACCCCTTAAGGACACATGACATGTCTGGATTCCCTTTTATTCCAGAAGTTTGGTCCTTAAGGGGTTAAAGAACCACTCAAAGCACCATAACCAGTACAGCGCTATCTGCGGGACTTTAGCGCCCTTAGTGTAAGGAGTCTAATGGTGTCCCCAAGCCCAGGAGAGTGGGACAGGAAGCTGGAATTCAATGTTTGGTTACTCTCAGTGTTCTCTGTTAAAACTAATGGAATATTTTGCTGCTTGTTTCTGTCATAAAACTTCTGACCCACAATCATGGTGTTCATATAACCCCCATGGTATGCAGCATTATTACTGAAACTATGTTACACCCTATGGGTTCAATCACTGAGCTGTGAATTCTGTCAGTCCCTCACCATGGAATATTTGGCAGTTACTGTTCATACAGTACTATGATAGTCTTAGACTGGTGTTTATCCTACTTCCGGTTTCCTGGATCCAGGGCGCTCATTGACTCCACAGGCTGTCACAGAATCCGCGCGTGCGCATTTCGACGTCAAGACCGCTGTGTCTGCGCGCTATGATGACGTCAAAAGTGACGGACGTTCTGCTACAGTTAGTTCCTCCACGTGAAGTAGCGATATCTGGCTGAGAAGTCGTCCGGTCGCGGAGCCCGAGCTATCGGAGGGCAGCATGAAGGAGACTCCGCTTTCTAACTGCGAGCGGGCGTTCCTGCTCCAGGCCATCACCGAGAAGAAGGTGTGAGCGCACCCAGCGTGCTGCTATTAGGGAGAGCCAGCCCCGCACTGCCTCTATATGTATTATATTACCATATCTTATAGCTCTGGGAACCTGCATGGAATACACAGCGTGCTGCTATTAGGGAGAGCTAGCCCTGCACTGCCTCTATATGTATTATATTACCATATCTTATAGCTCTGGGAACCTGCATGGAATACACAGCGTGCTGCTATTAGGGAGAGCTGGCCCCGCACTGCCTCTATATGTATTATATTACCATATCTTATAGCTCTGGAAACCTGCATGGAATACACAGTGTGCTGCTATTAGGGAGAGCCGGCCCTGCACTGTCTCTATATGTATTATATTACCATATCTTATAGCTCTGGAAACCTGCATGGAATACACCGCGTGCTGCTATTAGGGAGAGCTGGCCCCGCACTGCCTCTATATGTATTATATTACCATATCTTATAGCTCTGGAAACCTGCATGGAATACACCGCGTGCTATTAGGGAGAGCTGGCCCTGCACTGTCTCTATATGTATTATATTACCATATCTTATAGCTCTGGAAACCTGCATGGAATACACAGCGTGCTGCTATTAGGGAGAGCCAGCCCCGCACTGCCTCTATATGTATTATATTACCATATCTTATAGCTCTGGAAACCTGCATGGAATACACAGCGTGCTGCTATTAGGGAAAGCTGGCCCTGCACTGCCTCTATATGTATTATATTACCATATCTTATAGCTCTGGGAACCTGCATGGAATACACAGTGTGCTGCTATTAGGGAGAGCCGGCCCTGCACTGTCTCTATATGTATTATATTACCATATCTTATAGCTCTGGAAACCTGCATGGAATACACAGTGTGCTGCTATTAGGGAGAGCCGGCCCCGCACTGCCTCTATATGTATTATATTACCATATCTTATAGCTCTGGGAACCTGCATGGAATACACAGCGTGCTGCTATTAGGGAGAGCTGGCCCCGCACTGCCTCTATATGTATTATATTACCATATCTTATAGCTCTGGGAACCTGCATGGAATACACAGTGTGCTGCTATTAGGGAGAGCCGGCCCTGCACTGTCTCTATATGTATTATATTACCATATCTTATAGCTCTGGAAACCTGCATGGAATACCCAGCGTGCTGCTATTAGGGAGAGCTGGCCCCGCACTGTCTCTATATGTATTATATTACCATATCTTATAGCTCTGGAAACCTGCATGTAATACACAGCGTGCTGCTATTAGGGAGAGCTGGCCCCGCACTGCCTCTATATGTATTATATTACCATATCTTATAGCTCTGGAAACCTGCATGGAATACACAGCGTGCTGCTATTAGGGAGAGCTGGCCCTGCACTGCCTCTATATGTATTATATTACCATATCTTATAGCTCTGGAAACCTGCATGGAATACACAGCGTGCTGCTATTAGGGAGAGCTGGCCCCGCACTGCCTCTATATGTATTATATTACCATATCTTATAGCTCTGGAAACCTGCATGGAATACACAGCGTGCTGCTATTAGGGAGAGCTGGCCCTGCACTGTCTCTATATGTATTATATTACCATATCTTATAGCTCTGGGAACCTGCATGGAATACTCAGTGTGCTGCTATTAGGGAGAGCTAGCCCTGCACTGTCTCTATATGTATTATATTACCATATCTTATAGCTCTGGAAACCTGCATGGAATACACAGCGTGCTGCTATTAGGGAGAGCTAGCCCTGCACTGCCTCTATATGTATTATATTACCATATCTTATAGCTCTGGGAACCTGCATGGAATACACAGTGTGCTGCTATTAGGGAGAGCCGGCCCCGCACTGTCTCTATATGTATTATATTACCATATCTTATAGCTCTGGAAACCTGCATGGAATACACAGCGTGCTGCTATTAGGGAGAGCTGGCCCTGCACTGTCTCTATATGTATTATATTACCATATCTTATAGCTCTGGAAACCTGCATGGAATACACAGCGTGCTGCTATTAGGGAGAGCTAGCCCTGCACTGTCTCTATATGTATTATATTACCATATCTTATAGCTCTGGAAACCTGCATGGAATACACAGCGTGCTGCTATTAGGGAGAGCTGGCCCTGCACTGCCTCTATATGTATTATATTACCATATCTTATAGCTCTGGAAACCTGCATGGAATACACAGCGTGCTGCTATTAGGGAGAGCCGCCCTGCACTGTCTCTATATGTATTATATTACCATATCTTATAGCTCTGGAAACCTGCATGGAATACACAGCGCTGCTATTAGGGAGAGCTGGCCCTGCACTGCCTCTATATGTATTATATTACCATATCTTATAGCTCTGGAAACCTGCATGGAATACACCGCGCTATTAGGGAGAGCTGGCCCTGCACTGTCTCTATATGTATTATATTACCATATCTTATAGCTCTGGAAACCTGCATGGAATACACAGCGTGCTGCTATTAGGGAGAGCTGGCCCCGCACTGCCTCTATATGTATTATATTACCATATCTTATAGCTCTGGAAACCTGCATGGAATACACAGCGTGCTGCTATTAGGGAGAGCTGGCCCCGCACTGCCTCTATATGTATTATATTACCATATCTTATAGCTCTGGAAACCTGCATGGAATACACAGCGTGCTGCTATTAGGGAGAGCTGGCCCCGCACTGCCTCTATATGTATTATATTACCATATCTTATAGCTCTGGAAACCTGCATGGAATACACAGCGTGCTGCTATTAGGGAGAGCTAGCACTGCACTGTCTCTATATGTATTATATTACCATATCTTATAGCTCTGGAAACCTGCAAAAAATGTTTTCCTGGCACTGTAGCTTCCACCTGTGTCAAGGCCCACCCCGTTGGTGCAGAGGGGGTTAATAACCCCTTCTGTCACTTACCTGGGTCCCTCGCCGCTGGCTCAGCTCCGCCCACACCCTGCCGACATCTGCTGGCAGGAGACCTAATGGGCATGTGCAGCAATGGCCGTGCTCGCATTAGGATTTCCCCATGGGGAAGAATTATTCAATGCTTTCCTATGGGGATTCCGGTGACGCTGGAGGTCCTCATGCATGGCGCGAGTATGTCCAGCGTCGTTTAGGCGACCAAAAGTAGTCTACCTGGAAGTCCCTCTAGTGGCTATCTGGTAGACAGCTGCTAGAGGAGGAGTTAACCCTGCAAGGTAATTATTGCAATAATTACCACTGTAGGGTTAAGGGTGATGGGAGTTTGCACCCAGATCACTTCAATGAGCTGAAGTGGTCTAGGTGCCTACAGTGCCTGTTTATAAGTGAATTTCAAATTTCAGTTAAAATAGCCAAATGGGGAGGGGGAAAAAAAATCTCTCAATTGTTTCCAGTTTGGCTACTTGGACCTAAAATTTTGAAATTCATGACAATTCATACTTTAGATTGTAAACCTGGCAGATGTGCAAGAAAACCCCTTTTTAATGTTTGTCACTCGGGCGCCCATTTTTCAAAATACATATTGTTATAAATTAAGGTATATAATACCTTACTTGGGCCCTGGATAAATAAATTTCTTTTGATATGTATGAACGTCTGAGTAAAGGTTACAAACTATTTCACCAGTAGTGCCACTCGCAGAAGTGAGAATTCAAAGTGAATTTCAAATTCACAGTCAAAATAGCCAAACTGGAAAGAATTTCTAAGCCAGCTATGCTTACAATTTTGATACTTTGGCTGTAAATGTGAAATACACTTTGAATTCTCACTTTAGTAATTAACCCTGAATGTATGTCACGTAATGATGTTTTGTCTATGGATGCTGATTTGAAAATGTTTATCTTAAAGGAACACTATAGTCACCTAAATTACTTTAGCGAAATAAAGCAGTTTTAGTGTATAGATCATTCCCCTGCAATTTCACTGCTCAACTCACTGCCATTTAGGAGTTAAATCACTTTGTTTCTGTTTATGCAGCCCTAGCCACACCTCCCCTGGCTATGATTGACAGAGCCTGCATGAAAAAAAACTGGTTTCACTTTCAAACAGACGTAATTTACCTTTAATTGTATCTCAATCTCTAAATTGAACTTTAATCACATACAGGAGGCTCTTGCAGGGTCTAGCAAGCTATTAACATTGCAGGGGATAAGAAAATCTTAATTAAAGAGAACTTGCAATAAAGAAAGCCTAAAGAGGGCTCTCTTTACAGGAAGTGTTTATGGAAGGCTGTGCAAGTCACATGCAGGGAGGTGTGACTAGGGTTCAAAACAAAGGGATTTAACTCCTGAATGGCAGAGGATTGAGCAGTGAGGCTGCAGGGGCATGTTCTATACACCAAAACTGCTTCATTAAGCTAAAGTTGTTCAGATGACTATAGTGTCCCTTTAATGCATATAGTAGTAAAGGCATAAGGATGTTAATTCGCTAAAGACCATATTGTAATGAAGTGAAAATTGAATTGCAAAAACAGCATTTTCAAAACTTCTCAAACTTTGCCTTAGTCACAACTTGGCTATTTTTGCTTAAATTTTGCCAATCTGTTAATTTACTACAGTTCAATGTTTAGTGAGTCTCATACAAATATTAAGATTTAGATCTTTATTACCAGCACCGTAGCCTGTTAAAAAAAAGACTATTATGAAAAACAATGTTTATTTTTATTCTTGTAGCGTCTTGATGGCAGACAAACCTATGACTACAGGAATATTAAAATTACATTTGGAACAGACTATGGCTGCTGTATTGTTGAACTTGGAAAAACCAGGTATGCGTCCTCCAAAATGAACTCTTGATGTATAGAACTAACATGTGAAAATTAAGAACCGTTGTGTATGATGTAGAGATTTTTTTTTTTTTATGTTTACTAAGGAAACGTTTTTAACAAAACCTGCCCGAGAAATCTTTGTACTCCAATTCTTGCATTCTTCCTTTCCAAGATGCATCTTATTTCTTTCTGATTTGGCTGCATATTTTATGCACTTATAAACCTCTTAGCATCAACAGACCTTATGTCAGGGCTGTTATAATATTGTAGAATTTGCGTAATAATTCAACTGAAATGGTTAACTGTAAGTGTTTAAAATGTGCTTCATACAGCAGGAGTGCACAATTGCCTCTGAAAGAGTATCATGCAAAAATACAGTTTTGTGTAAAGTGTTCTCATTGCAAGATTAAACTCCCGCTAAGGGCATACTGACAGCCAGCAGAGATACATCCGCCAAAATGATGGAGTAAAACTCCACAATTTCAATCACATGGTCTCAGACTATCTGGTACAGTGCAACTTTTGTCTGCACATGCACACTTGTCTCCCAATGCTTTCCTATGTGAAAGCATTGGATTGGTTTAGATTATCAATATCAATGATCTCCGCCAAAGAGGCAGAATGTAACGCAGGAGTATAGGGCACACTCTTCACATAAAGCTTTTCAGCAAGCTAAAGTGCTTTAGGGGTCTGGAGTGTCCATTTAAGCAAAGGTAAGAATCCCTTACACTATTTTAAAGTTTGGTAACAAAATGTAATCTAGTGTTTAAACAAGTATAAATGTGTGATAACTCGGTTGTCTTGCTACTCCAGTCATAATTAGCATGGTTTTAGTATATTGTATATGGCTTCTGTGATCTTTCTTGATGTAACTGTTTCTAAAATATAGAAAAGATATTGTTAAAATTGTCTAAAAATGTTTACTTTCTGTATTCATTTGGTTTTTAATTTCAAAAAGGGACCAATGTATCTAATTGAGATGTTTGAATGTAAGCAATATATAGAACAAAATATTCTATAATTACCACTAGGGTGCAGCACTACAGTAGGAAAATTAGATTTAATTAGTAGTTTGTATCTTGGTGAAAACTGTTTATGCTAATGTCTGAGATGTATAAGGTCTGCAGCAAAAAAGATGAAAAGAAAAACCCTACTCGCATAATTACACCAGGGTTTATAAAGTATATACTGCGTTGTTTTTGTTTGTCAGTAAAAAGGATTGCCTTATGCAGACACCTGCACAATCACTAGCTCTTGAATACTCACACTCACACATAACTTATTAGCCACGTTCACAATCTACCACCTCAAATACTCTAAAAATAAAAAATAACTAATTATACTGACTCACGCATAATTACATAACTAGCCATATACCTAATATTCATGTACATCTGGTCTCGATAATGACCCTGTGGTGTCAAAACATAGATTTTTGGCATGTATAATGAAAACTGAATTGTATTCCTAACAGGCACTATTTAATATTGGTTTCTATATTTTACTAGAGTGCTTGGTCAAGTATCCTGTGAACTTGTTGCTCCAAAAATGAATAGACCTACAGAAGGAATCCTTTTCTTTAATCTGGAACTTTCATCTATGGCATCTCCAGGATTTGAATCTGGAAGGTAAGATATAATTGTCACTCGTATAATGTAGTCTAATGATAAATAGGTATACAACTGATTTTATGCACATAAAACCATTGTTCAACACATGGCATGGTAAGCTATTCAGTTTTGTGTTGGTGGGTAGCGTGCTTATCAATAAAAAGAAGAAAAGGAGGAGAAAAAAAAGTGTGTGTGTATATGTGTATATATATATATATATATATATATATATATATATATAATTATACACACAATTTCAATACAATGTTAAACAAAAAACTGCACACTAGTCAAGACTTGTTTTTCCCACCCAAATCACACATTTGCAGTGATGTTACTACCTCAAAGGATTCTGGGTGGGTATATGCAAATTAGTTCAAAGATTCACATTTTGCCTCATTCCATTTTAAACATGGATTCGGTTGAGTCTGTTTGCTGTATACAACAGCTTTCAAACACAACTTAGGAAAAGATGCAATGCCAGTGAACCACTCATGGACTGCTGTTTCATTGTTAATTCAAATTATCAGCATGTGGTTGATTTTTGGCTTGCAATTGAGGCTTGGCAGTACTTTTTTTTATACACTGTTCTGTAAATGGTGCAACATGTTTGCCAGACAGGGCAAAATTACTTAACGTGTCTAAGCGTTTCATAACTCTTTTGTTGTTGTAGGTCATCAGAACTGGTGGTAAAGTTAAACAGATTACTAGAGAGGTGTCTGAGGAACTCAAAGTGCATAGATACTGAATCCCTTTGTATTGCTGCTGGAGAAAAGGTGAACACAAGAACCATTTATAGCTTCTTAATTAACCCACAAATTGCTGTCACAAGGACCCGGTGCTTAAGGCCAGTAATGAATGTTTTGCTTATTGGACATTCTGTTCCATTCACACTAACCGTAGTTAATTGAGTGGGTCTTTGTGTTTTGGAATAAAATCTTTAAACGGGGCTTCATTGACCACTGTAAATCTTACACTTCATAAACTCTTGTTTTATCTTTTAAGTAGATATGCTCCCAAAGAAAACATGGATGTTTCTTTGTAGGTAAATGAACAAACAGCTTGCAAAAGTTGAAGACCTGCTGTCTGCAGCCTTTGCATACCCTCCTCTCTTTCCCCAGCACAGACTCTGTATGCCACGGAAAACACCAATCGGAGGCTTTTAAGTGAGGAGCCTCTTTGCTGGAGTGCACTCGATCACTGCTTTCCAGTGTGTCTCAAGGAGCTGTAGTACAGCTAATTAGCAAGGCATGCACACTGTAGCTCAGTGCACCTGGCACTTACGTTGGCTTTGTGGAGCTAATGAAAGCGGAAGAAAACACCTCCCTACTTCAATTATAAAAATGCTGAATTCTATTGATAAATGGTCAAAAAATGGCACACCAGACACAAAGCAGTTCAGCTGTTTTCTGAAGAGCTCCTTTAAGCTACCTCTGCAGCTTCCTATTCTCCTGCCTACAGCGTACTCCCTGTGACAGTACCTCGTGGAAAATCTTTTTCCTGCTCTTAGGACTGTACAGGGCTTATACAACTTCTGATTACTGCAAGAGCTAAATGAAATAATGGGGCATTGTCAGATTAAAACTCTGCTTAGAGTTTGGAAATCTGATGGTCAGCTCTCACCCTTCAAAGATACCATGCAGAGTGTACTTTAAAGGCTACAACAAACAGCCTGCATGTCTCGTAGACAAGTACAAATTATCAAAAAAGTTACCTGTGCGTTATCCCAAATCCATAGGCACTTTTAAATAAGAGCTTAGTACCATTCGACTGGCCATTAAAGTGTAAGCTCACCTGCCACGTCAAGGCAATTCTCTTAAGTCCTACACTAACAATTTACCTTGCAGCTTTTAGCTATGCAGAATCTCTAATGGGACATTAAAATGAACCCCTACATCCTACACCTTTTAATAGGGCACACATGGGGTGGATGCAGTAACATGGCTGTTTTAGTAGAGAAAAAAATACAAATACACAAAATTAAGCTTTACCTTAGAACTCCCATTATACTCTTGGGCGGCAGCAATGGCTATATTCAAATGGATATATATAAAGGTGATGTCTTCACTACATGTTACGTAATCCCCTTCTGCTTAAAGACTTGTAGGATATGCACATCACACCTTTTAAAAATAGTTGGAGGTACAGGATTATGTGGGGAAATCCCATCAGAGTATTTTTATATTGACTTCTCTTTTTTTACTGTATTATCTGTATAATGCATTAAAAAGCAAGGCATACTTTAAGGTGGAAGTTGCTAAATCTGCTCTAAAAGTTATTTGTCTGACTCTGCTTTACCATTCAAAAAGGCGCTGTTTATGGGGAATTGCTCCATTAAACCACTTTCACTATGCTACCACCCGCGCTGGCTTATCGCTTGGTAAAAATAACTCTTATACATGCTTTTGTGGGAAACGGAACTTGGCCAAATATTCTCATTAAACACATGGCAAAGAGTGTTGACCCAAGTACTCAAGTCTTCATACTGCTTTGTACACTGGGAAACAAACCGGAAATTACTCACGAGGTGGTACCTGTCCCAAATAGGCTACTGCATATTTGCCCAGACTCTTTAAACATCTGATGGACATGTGGCAAAGAAGTGGGCACCCTAACACACACTTTTTGCAAATGTCCTACTTTAGACAGACGTTTGAGCACTCATCGTAAACCTATCACGTTCACCATACCTAACTCACCGAAAGCGTTGCTGCTGGATATTTTCCCTCACACAATGAAAGGGCCAATGAGGTCCTCCTACAACACATTAATAGCCTCTAAAGCAACAATTGCATACCATTGGAAATCTAAGAAAATCCTTTCTATTACAGACATTAAATCTTGAGTTGATGTGGTGAAACAATACATAGAAATGAGTCACCATTTCCTAGGCTTCTTTGACAAATTCAAGAAAGCATCGACTTTGTGGTCCTAACCAAACGAGTCTCCCAGAGAGCACCACTGGGGTCTCCCACTCACTCCCTTCTACTTCCCTTCTTTCCAATCACTCCTGCCTTTCTCCTGCAATTGAACAGTTTGTACACCTACCTTCAAGTACCAGAGACACACAGGGCCCTGACCTGTAGATGCACAGTTACAAGCAAGGGAATCACTGGTGCCTCAAATTTCTAATGATTTCACCCGTAAGTGCTTAGTAACATTTATTATGTTGAATGTTAACAAGTTCTTTGATGACAAATGCTATATCAGTGACTGTGCTTGCCACGTTCTATTAATATGACTTGTACATTTGTATCTGTTGTATCCTGGTGTATACTCCCCCTTCATTTTCTGTGATTGTCTTTAAATGGGAAAATCTATAAAGAATTAAACACTGAAAAAAAAGATATTTGTACTGAAGTACAATATAAATTTACCGTATATATATATATATTAGCGTATAAGTCGACCCGAATATAAGTCGAGACCCCTAATTTTACCCCAAAAAACTGGGAAAACGTATTGACTCGATTATAAGACTAGGGTGGGAAGTGCAGCAGCTACTAGTGAATTTCTAAATAAAATTATCCCCCCAAAATTATATTTATTGAATATTTACAGTGTGTGTGTGTTTTGCAGAGCTTTGGTGGTGGGCATTTTTTTTTAAAATTTTATTATTTATATTTTCTTCGTCCACCCCCCTTTCCCTGCGTGATACATGGCAGGGAGGGGGGGCTCTCATTCCATGGTGGTCCAGTGGATGGGCTGTGTAGGAAGGGGGCTGGCAGAGAGCTGTAACTTACCTTTCCTGCAGCTCCTGTCAGCTCCCTTCTCTCTCCTCTGGTCTGGTCAGCTCCACTGTAAAGTCTCGCCATGTAAATGCCACGGGGAGCGTTGCCACAGTAACCCGTGGCAACGCTCTGACCCCGCGGCTCTCGCGAGACTTACAGTGGAGCTGACAGGAGCTGCAGGAAAGGTAAATAACCGCTCGCTGCCAGCCCCCAACAGGACCGCTGGGCTTGCAATGAGCCCGGCGGTCCTGGTCTGTATTATGGCAATGTAAGTTGTCATAATACAGACAGTGACTCGAGTATAAGACGAGTGAGGGTTTTTTCAGCACAAATATACAGTGTACTCAAATATACGGTAATTACTATTTTACCATACTAACAAGATCACAAATGTAGCAGTGCAGTTATTCACTACTTACTTTGCTAACTTGATTAGTAATACTGAGTAATATTTTGTAAAAAAAAAAAAAAAATTTGTTTGTTTAAAAAAAGGAACTCCTACGGATAGTATTGCATGAATTTTTTTTACTTGAGTAGCATCTGTAAAATACTTTGATTCCTAATCATAAACGTGTTTGTTTTGTTTCGTCAAAATTATAAGCAGCAGAGAAATGTTAAAACACAATTTATGATAAGATATGGAATCCACTTCCTCTGGTATTGCCTTATATCCATTATTCAATTCATGAGAGGACAACTTATATCCATACTCCACACTCACAGAATATATAGTTTAACATATTTTATTAGTCACATTATAAAAAGTAGGGTAATTATACACACATTTGCATAACATGCAATAATCATGCATGCTCTGAATACTTATTCGAATTTGGGGAATGTAAATATTTTTTTTATTTTTCCTCCTATATTCATCTACAGGTGTGGCAAATACGTGTCGACCTTCATTTGCTGAATCATGAAGGAAACATCATAGACGCAGCGAGCATTGCTGCAATTGCAGCACTCAGTCATTTCAGGAGGCCTGATGTGTCCGTTCAAGGTGAAGAAGTCACTGTGGTGAGTTCTAAATTATAAATGTAACTTTTCCATAGAGCATGAGTCCTTATTATGTAAAGCGTCCATGTGTTTTTACCTCGTTGTTAGAGTGAATAATGTGCAGAAAGTACGTTTTCCTACAACCTTGCACAAAAATTGCCTAAATGTAATGCATGTGGGCACAAATGACTGGGTTATCAACTATAAACTCAAATAAAGTAGACCTAGTATTTAATGTCCTATTTGTTAAAACAGTTATCCACCTTTCTGAGAGTGATGATGCACACATAAAAAGATATCAATAAAAGCCTTTTACTAATGAGTTGCTTGAAGATCCGTCTGCAATGTGTTGTTGATGAAAGGTCCCTAGCTTTACAAGCAAAGCATATCTTTTCTATATTTTTATTTACCTGCAAAAGCAGTGTTGAACTATAGTATGTTATCCGTATCCTGTGCGTTATTTATTTCTTTTGTACACTTGTACTTCTTTAAACCTACACCTTGCCATAATGACTGCCGAAAACAAAATATCTTAATTCCTGCTGCAATATATTACCAGGCAATCCATGCCAGCTTCCTTCAACCCTTTAGTTAGTCTTTACTACCTGGATTGATGTGCAAATGGACTATTGCACTGCAATGTTAAATTGTCAGATGACCCCTAGATTACGTAAGAGTGAAGCCAATAAACTCTCTCTCTGTAATGCTAGTTTAATTATCATATTTATATATGTATTTTTTTTTTATTTATTTATTTTTTTTAGTACACGCCAGAGGAGCGTGACCCTGTTCCTCTCAGCATTCATCACATGCCAATATGTGTCAGCTTTGCATTTTTTCAGCAAGGGTAAGTAGAGGTGTGTATATATATATATTATGCATTTATTTTTCCCATTCATTGACTACAGTCTGTTTTGCATTTGTAATCGCAAAGCAGTGACAGTGTACTAAGAGCACAAACATTTGCAGGTATTACATCTGCTAATAGAGGTTAGAGATACAGACTGACCTTCTTGCAAAGATCACTGGGCTGCAACCAGGAAGCTGCTCTAGGGCTGCCAGAGAGATTACTTTGCTGAAACTACAAGGACTATGTCTTTGCTGCTGTGCTGGTGTTTAATGGATGGATTTATTGGATGGTATTGATTATGTATGTATGTATGTATGTGTGTGTGTGTGTATGTGTATATATGTATGTGTGTGTGTGTATATGTATATGTGTATATAGTTGCACTGTTTGATCCTGATGAAGGTCCCTGTGTGGACCGAAACGTTGTTTGTTCTTGTTTCTTGGATGGAATAAACCACACTTTATATTCAGAAGTCCGTGAGTGCAGCCTGCTTTGCTTCGTTTACTACATTTAAGGTCCCTAAAGACTGGCACCCGGCAAGCCTAATAAGGCATATTGGACTACATTAAGCGTGAGTGCAAGGAATTTTCTATTGTGTGTGTGTGTGTGTGTGTGTGTGTATGTATGTATGTGTATATATGTGTGTATATATATATATATATATATATATATATATATATCTCTCTGTCTCTATCCCAGTAAATGGAAAGCACTCCAGGGTCTTTGAGGTATGGTAAAATTTAACTTTTAATTCATAAAAAAAAATAAAACCAACATCAACGTTTCGGCTCACATCTGGAGCCTTCTTCAGGATGACAAACGTCATGTGTGTGTGCTACCTATCTTTTGATCTATCTGGATAAAATGTTAATGTTCAGTTAAATTAACATTTTATCCAGATTTTCCTTTGTAATTTGCTGATCAAAACTGCATTCAGACTTTAAAGAGTAACCCTGATCAGGTCTATCTTAGCTTTACAAATTTACAAAAAAACAGCATTGGAAAACCAGAAAATATACTTTTATACCGCTTGTAGTAAAACATAAACTGGTCATCTTGGGTGTTCCATGCAGCCGTTGTGACTGGGGAGGGGAAGGTAAAAGATCTCTGGGCACGCGAACATCAATCTCTAAAATGTTGTAGACTACTCTATTTATCTTTTTCCTTGTAATCTAAGGACTAGGTGAATTGCAATATCTATTGGGCCAAAACTATATTTCGAGGTGGCATTGAGATCTTTTTGTTTTATTGTAGTTTAGCATTGGGTCACTGAACCTTTTCTTTATATTACTACCGCTAGGATTTAGTTACTTTTGTGTTGGAGTCCTGAAGTCTTTAATTTATTGAAAGTGTTGACTTAAACAAGGGGGGTGGTAACCAAGATAGATAACAAATTTGGGCAGCTACATACCAGCAAGCGACTTGGCAGATAGAAAAAAAATATATTGCATGTGCGCTCCACAAATAATTAGAGGAAACAAAAGAACGTTCCTATAAAATATATATACTTTTTTTTAATAAAAAAATACCACCTGAAACAATGAAAAACAATTACCCTAGATATATTTAATAACTCTTAGGTGGGACATATAACACACTAAATAAACAATGTATCCAATTTTAACATTGGTTCATATACTTCCCAAAAACTGCAACAGTTTCAACTAATACAGAAGCAGCATGTTGCATTCCAAAGGGAAAGTCCATGTGAACACAAATGGCAACTAAATGTTGCAAATCTTAGTGAAAAACCCTTTTATAACATTGCATGTAAATTGTATAAAAACTGTAGGTAATGTTAGATACTGGATAAATACCCCTCTCTAAGAGAAAAATTATCAAATATATATTTTATAGGAATGTTCCTCTAATTATTTGTGGAGTGCACGTGCTATATATTTTTAGTTAAGTGTGCCAAATTTTAGAAAATGCTTTCAAACTATCCAGATATGCTTCCTAATCTGGGTCAAACTGCCCAATGTAAATGGTCTACATACAGTAAATGTTTGAGAAGGGGGTGCATAACTTAGATAGGAACAAGTCATATCAATACCCCTGCTTCCTTGTGTCTGGCCCATTTAAATTGTCAATAGGTGATTATCTTCTAGACTCTAAAAGCTTGTGTGTGCCCTCTGGGTGTGTCTGTAAACAGTAAGCACCATCACACAGCTTCATGTAAAAAGCACCTCTTCATTTGTAAATCTTGTATATTCAGTGGTGTATTTGAAGAGTTCCATTCGTTTAAATATAAACTGATCACATTCTGAATACATGTGCACAGTACCAGGTTTTTGATTCATTGAATTGACTATTGGCCCTTTTTTATTTTTTGTTTTAAAGAAATGGTTTATTTGCTGTTAAATCAAAGTGTAGAGATGTAATCCTAGTGTATGTGATCTGTCACGTAAAATCTGTTAAACTTTTTGTAACAGTTTAGTTTTTAATGTTTGGCTTTAGGACATACTTGTTGGTGGATCCCAGTGAACGCGAAGAGCGGGTTATGGATGGGCTGCTTGTGATCGCTATGAATAAACATCGGGAAATTTGCACCATTCAGTCAAGTGGAGGCATCATGTTACTGAAAGATCAGGTGATCTAATAGTATGGGCACACTGACTGCCCAGATTATATGGAAAACTAATCTACATATAAGGATTTCAAGAAAATAAGTTTTTCTTTCACACTTTCTCGATTTTAAATAGGATTATGCATAATTGAATCACTATGTATGTATGTATGGACATATATTCCCCAAGGTTCCATTCTCTGCCCCCGACTATTTACATTATTTATAAATGATCTGCCTAATGTCTGCAAATCCTCAAATGTACGCAGACAACACAGTAATCTATGCGAGCAAATCCGATCTACCGCAGCTTGAGGCTGTGCTCCAAGACCAGTTTACAGAGGTAGAAAAGTGTATTGCAAAAAACAAACTCTTCCTAAACCCTGACAAAACTGTCATAATGATCTTTGGAACAGTACCTAAATTACACAAGAAAGCGGCCCGATCCTCCTTTTCCTACAGAGCACCGTAATTATGGAACGACCTCCAGCACACTTTCAAATCTTCCCCAAGCCTAAAGTCCTTTCACTCTCTCTACATAACTCAAAACAAAATGCACGTGTTATGGTTGATTATATATTTCCTACCTGTTCTATGTTAAATTTTGTATTCTATTGTACCCTAATGTATCAATGCAATATTTTGTGGACCCAGGACAAACTTGAAAACGAGAAAAATTGCAATGTATTTTTCCTAGTTAAATATTTTATAAATAAAAAAAAATATTGTATTGGGACACATCTTTTATGCAATTAAGGTGTTTCAATCAGACCTATTGCTACAGGTGTATAAAATCAAGCATGTAGCCATGCTGATTATACTAAGATATGTAACAGGGTTGATGTTCCAGGAGGGTTAAGCCAAATGGCAAATGATTTAGGTAAACTAGAAAAATGGTCAGAATTGTGGCAACTGACATTTAACGTGGATAAGTGCAAGATGATGCATCTTGGACGTAAAAACCCAAGGTCAGAGTACAGAATATTTGATAGAGTCCTAACCTCAACATATGAGAAAAGGGATTTAGTGGTGATTATTTCAGATGACTTAAAGGTAGTCAGACAATGTAATAGAGCAGCAGGAAATGCTAGCAGAATGCTTGGTTGTATAGGGAGAGGTATTAGCAGTAGAAAGAGGGAAGTGCTCATGCCATTGTACAGAACACTGGTGAGACCTCACTTGGAGTATTGTACACAGTACTGGAGACCGTATCTTCAGAAGGATATTGATACCTTAGAGAGGGTTCAGAGAAGGGCTACTAAACTGGTTCATGGATTGGGGGATAAAACTTACCAGGAAAGGTTAAAGGATCTTAACATGTATAGCTTGGAGGAAAGACGAGACGGGGGGGATATGATAGAAACATTTAAATGGATTTGGCGGATGCCAGGAGAAAGTTGCCTGACTGCATTTCCTGTACCAACTCCAAAGTTTGGTGGATGAGGGATAATGGTGTGGGGCTAGGCCTCTTCATTCCAGTGAAGGGAAATCTTGATTTCAGCATACCAAACATTTTGGACAATGCTATGTTTCCTACTTTGTGGGAACGGTTTGGGGAAGGCCCATTTCTATTCCACCATGGTCCATAAAGACTTTGCTGGATGAGTTTGGTGTGGAAGAACTTGACTGGCTTTGACCTTAACCCTGTCAAACACCTTTTGGGATTGACTTGAACAGATATCGTGAGCCATGCCATTTTCGGGCTAGCTAGCACCAGTTCTTTTCATATTGGACATCTGTCGTCCGCAACAGGCATCCAATGGTGACACAACTCCGATGTCCTCCACTAAGCCTTTCTTTCCAGACATCCCTCCCCCTTCAACAAGGAAATTGATGTCAGCAGAGAAGAACTGGCCTGCAGGGACAACATGGCCTCAGCAGCAGTAGTTTTGGAGAGGGGTTCTGGATAGGACCAAAAACCGCAATTTATTGAAACACTGACTTTTGGTTAACCATTCCGATGCTCGTCAAGCACTTTATACCTGTGCGCTATAAGTTTGAGTAAATGACCTCCTATTTTCTGCTATATGTCTATTAATTGGAATCTCAACATATACATTGCCTTGTTTGTTTTCTTGTTTTTTTTGTTTGTTTTTTCTACTGTTTTACCTAATTGTGGATATGTGGTTTTAGCAGTAGCTGTTGGTCAAGTTTTTTTGCTGCCAGTGTGTATTTATAAATGACATCTTATGTCTGTATCTTTCACCATTCATGGTACAAACAGGTTTTGAGATGCAGCAAGGTAGCTGCAGTGAAGGTAGCAGAGATAACAGAACTAATACAGAAGGCTCTGGAGAATGACAAAAAAGTCCGGTAAGTTCTCTGTCAATGCTGCATTTCCCATTCTTGCCATAACATTGAGGTACCTATGATAAACAATTTATATTTCAAATAAAATACCAGTTTAGGATACATTTACTAATTAAAAAAAAAAAAAAAAACACAAGCACAAATGCAGAGTTAAAGTGAACTCTAAGCACCAAAACCACTGCAGTTTATTGTAATGGTTACAGTGAAGGTGTTTTGGAATAGTTTTGTCACCGTTTTCAAGCAGATTGACAGAAAACTGGGCACTCCCATTCCCCAAAACACTGCTGTCTTGAATACTGCCTTGACGGAAGTTAGTTTCACCTCCTCCTTACACATACAGATCCTATTAAATTTGAAAAGCAATTATAGTCCGCGAGTGCTGCTTATTTTTTTTTTTTTTTTTTGCATATTTTTTTCCATATTTAAATGCACTTTCACTGGTTATTAAAGGACCACTATAGTCACTCGGACCACTTCAGCTCGATGAAGTGGTCTGGGTGCCAGGTCCCCCAGGTTTTAATCCTGCAGCTGTAAAGATAGCTGTTTCAGAAAAACTATGTTTACACTGCAGGGTTATTCCAGCATCTAGTGGCTGTCGTACTGACCGCCACTTCCCCAAAGCTCAATGCGAAAATCTCATTGAGCACGCAGAACGTCCATAGGAAAGCATTGAGTAATGCTTTCCTATGGGCATCTTTAATGCGTGCGCGGCTCTAGCCGTGCATGCGCATTCAGCTCCACTCGGGAGTTGATGTCGGATGGAGATGAGAGGTCACCAGCGCCGAGGGAGCGCTGGATAAAGGTAAGTGGCTGAAGGGGTTTTAATCCCTTCAACACAGCGGGAGGGAGACTCTTGAGGGTGGGGGGGATCTAAGGATTATATAGTGTCAGGAAAACAAGTTTAATTACTTGATATTTTTTATTTGATATTTATGACTGACCTATGCAATAGAATTACAATAATGTTAGTATTTTATTGTGGTGAGCTTACTTTTATTAATTATGTTTGCTACTTTTATCCTTTTGGATTGGTGTATAGGAAAGAAGGTGGAAAACATGGTTTTGCAGAATCCATACCAGATCAGCGAATAACTGTCCTAAAAATGGAAAAAGCCCCTGTAGATACATCAGATGTGGAAGAAAAAGCTGAAGAAATAATTGCCAAATCTGAGCCTCCATCAAATATGTATCCTTCACACCAACTGTAATTATTGATGCCTTCCTATGTGACTTTTATTCTTAAAGTAAACTTATCATCCTCAGATGATGTGGGGGAAAAATTGTATATTTGAGTAGACCTATACTTAGTTTACTCTATGCATTGTGCTGGCAAAATTCTCAGCAAGTTGTTAGAATAGAATATATGTGAGGGGAAGCTGTGCGCTCAGCCAACGTGCATCCAAATAATGTTTGGCACACCACAATTCTTAGCATCACATGTACTCTGTATGCCAAAAACATGAACTCAAAAAGTCATGAGTCAGTATTGCTTTAATAAGGACTAACGTTAAAACTACACGTTTTGCTAGCACTGCCTTTTAAGGTGACTTCCTTTCATATATTTTCCATGACTGGTGCGCTTTAAAGGAACATTGTAGATTAGTGTTCATCCTATTTTAAAATGAAATAAATATTACAAATATCCCTGGCTTCCTCTTAGTTTTTAGTGAGAGTGCTGAGTTGATCCCATGAAGTCCTGTCCAACGCTTTGCTTTGAGACAGTTGAGCAGGGTTTTGGAAATGTCTGCACTTGTAAACATTGGAATGCAGAAAGGCAGAAGGGGTCTCGTGGTCTCCACAATTCTATTTTCCAGCAATTTTAATAAACCGTCCTAAATCTAAATTAATAAAAATGTCTGTTTATAAGCATTAGAAATTAAGATGCATGGTACGTTTTTGGGGCTTAACCTTAACTGTCACTAGTGTATCCAAACCAGTGATTTGGGCAGAAGGCACTGCACAGATTGGAGAGGGTTTAGAGAATGCATGGGGAGAGCTTGAGGAATCAGATGATGAGGAGGAGGAGGAGGAAGTGGATCAACAGGATGAAATTGCTGCAGTGGCAGAAGAGGAACCATCTTTGAAAAAGAAAACCAGCAAAGGTGAGTAGTGATTTAGATGTTCGCAAGCCCACTATTTCAGTGGTGACTTTTATATATGCAGAAGGCAGGTAAAAACCCCTTTATACAGAAATAGTTTTACTTATGAGTAATAAAACCATTCTTATGTTCCTCAGATGATGTTATAATGCTGTCAGACAGCGAAGAGGATGAAGTCGTAATATTACAACCTGATAAACCATCACAAACCAGGTAAATACAAGCACAAACTAAAATTCAAATTCTAAAGTGAACTTGGACCCACTGAATAAATATTATTTAAAGTGAATTTACAAAAAAGAAATGTACTATTTAATTTTTACTAATCCCAGGTTACTGTGTGAAATGTAATATTTAATATAGGCACTTTCTTATCTCTCAGGATACAGGAGCAGGACTTTCTAACAAGCTTTAATGTATTCCAAACTAGGTTAATCTTGAATCGATCTGTTTGTTTTGGGCTCAAATCACGTTCATGCAAGGGGAAAAAGACTGATACAAAATCTAGCCTTTGGTTGAGTCAGAAGGTCCAAAGACCTGTCAATAAGTGTTTTAGTGGGGTTAGAGAACAGAGGGCATACATGAGCCCACTTAATAGAAGAAAAGCCGTAGGACCACTCAACACCCAAAAAGCACTTCAGTTAACAGAAGCAGTAGATGCTTGCCTTCTCCCTATTCCTTACCACAGACCATCACAAAAGCTCTTTTTAGATATACCCCCAATGAGACAACACGCAGCAAAAAAAATGAATGCATGTTGTCAGTGGGATTATATCCACTAAATAGTGACCCTCCACCAGCAGTTGTAAACATTGCAAAACAAAAAATGTGAAGTGTGTCATATCTAATATTACTTGGTGTAATTTTAACAGGATCACGATCAAGCACTTTTTGATTGGGGAAAAAAAATGAAGCAAGGGATGCATGTATCATATAAACTTATCATAACAAAGCGATTGCTTTGCGGACAAATTTAAAAATGTTATTTATGTAAATTTGCACCATTGTTGTTTTTCACTTTTTCGTTCATTCTTTATAAAAATATTTGGGAAATGGAAAGCTTTTGATAGTATACAGTGTCCTTTATTTTGCAATATTTCACAGAGTTTGACATACTAGTATAAAAGCTAAAATGCAATTGTTTTGTCACATACTATAGATGTGGCAAAAAAGATAAATACAAATGGTCAAATATCTTGCTTGTAGGTATTTGTAAGGACTGTATTACTAGCTTTACAGCATACATAAAATTGCAACAGAATTTAAAAAGAATGTTTATATTATATTTATCAAATAGAGGGATTTAAGAAAGCCATAACAATCTTTATCGCTATCTGGACTGCTAATCTAATGTGGACTGGTAGAAATCAAACACACTCACACTCACTCTTGGCTTTATCACATGTCATAACTTCAATCTCTCAAATGCTATATTTCTTTTTCAGAAAAGCTGCAGCTGTCGCAGAAAAAGAATCTGCTATTCAAAAAAAGACATCCAGCACGAATAAGAAAAAAAAGAAATCCAATCGATAGTGTGGTGGATTATTTTTCTACACTCTATAGGATATTAGTACCTTGTCTTCTTTGGTTAAAGGATCCCAGCAAGTGAGATGTTTCCTCCCTTAAGTGAAGAATGGGAAATGTGCTCTGTATAAGTAGTTCATTTGTTCTGCATGTGGCCAAATTACCGATACAGGTTTGATCTCCAAGGACCTTAAACAAGTCACATTTGGCCTGCTAGGCTTATGTATTCAACTATTGTGTGTAGTTTATTGCAGTCTTTGCTCTTTCAGCCTGCTGCATACACTACCCCAAACTCAGTTTAGTTACTAAATCGTGACTTGTGGTCAGTTAATAAAGTGAAAAAACAAAATGAGGAAATCGAAGGACGAAAATAAAGCTTATCTTCTCTTGCAGCGTGGTATATCACAGTCAGTCACTGATTAGAAAAGATTTGACTAGAGCAGTGATTCTTTTAGCACTGCCAGTGTTGACTGGACCTAAATAAAAAAAAAAATTGGCTGACACTGGATATTTGTCAACTATGTTTCCCTATTTTCCAAAGTTAGCCATTGCCATCTTTAATGAGACACAATAGGCATCAAAACAATGTTGGCTTAATGAAGGAGTTTTGGTGTATAAATCATGTCCCTGCAGTCTCACTGCTCAATCTTCTGCCATTTAGGAGTTAAATCGCTTTGTATATAAAGCCATAGTCACACCTCCCTGAATGTGACTTGCTAAGCCTTCCCAAACACTTCCTGAAAAGTGAGATTGAATGTTTTAAACTTCCTTTATTGCACAGTGTTTATTTAGAATTTATCTCCTGCTCTGTTAATAGCCTTCTAAACAATAGAGGAGCCTCCTCTTTAATTTAGAGGGACACTAGTCAACAGAACAATTACAGCTTATTGTATTTGTTCTGGTGAGTAGAATCATTTCCTTCAGGCTTTTTCCTGTAAACACTGTCTTTTCAGTGAAAGAGCAGTGTTTTACATTACAGCCTAGTGATGACTAGATGGCTGCTAAAGCTGATTCCTTGGGCAGTGCTGCAGAGTAAGCAGCGCTGCCATTCAGTGTCTCCACCCACTGTATGCAAACACTGAACTTTCCTCATAGAGTTGCATTGATTCAATTCATCTCTATGAGGATATGCTGATGGGCCAGAGCTATGTTTGACTTGTGCTGGCTCTGCCCCTGATCTGCCTCCTTGACAGTCTCAGCCAATCCTATGGGGAACCATTGCAATTGACTCAGACCACCATTTCTGCTGATGTCAGCAGACAGAGGCAGTTCAGAGGCAGCAGCTTCAGACTTGAATACAAGTAAGATTTTACTATATTTAGTGCTCTTGACTCTATAGGGTTCGCTTGAAAGTTCAATATACAGACAGGAAAAAAACATTTACAACAAGTTAACATCTGATTGAAAATGAAGAAAAATTTTCATGGAGTAGAGTCATGGCTAGGGCTGCATGTACAGACAGTAAAAATGATTTAACTCCTAAATGGCAGAGATTTAAGTAGTGAGCATGTAAGGGCATCTATCCATAAAAACTGCTTTATTGTGCTAAAGGTGTTTTGATCCTTTAACTGAAAGGCTTCCACATGCTCCAAATGATAACACAACTGTATTATTACACTGTGATGTTTTGTAGAAATCTATACTGTTTATATAATCTTTATTTTTGTAAATTATCAAATCCGATGGGGAGATAAATATGGATGCTCAGAGTGAACACCAAGTTACGAGCTGAATTATAATAAAGTTTTTGGTATTGAAATTCTGCAGCATGATTTGCCTAAATATTTTATTGATGTTTGCTTGTCGTCTATGCCAGCAATAAACGAAGACTTTCTTTATCTACAAGGTAACTTTTCTGACCACATAAAATAGGTGGCTGAATTTATAGCAACCTGTTATGAGGTTCAGTGTGCATTTAAAAAAAAATAAAAAGATATTTTTATGGAAATTGCATCTTAAAGCTAACCTTTTGAGCCAAATTTTATTGGAAAATAAAAAACCCCCAACAAAAGTTGAATTCTTTTCAAAACTGAATTATATTTAATATTATAGGTAACATGTGCTCCAAGCAACTTCTGCTCATTAGATTGAGCATAAGGTTATATATATATTTGTGCTAGCAAATGTATAGATTAGAAGAAGAAAAAAGTTCTACATTTTTTTTCTTCCAGTTGTCAGCCATGATCCACAGGAACTCCATATGCTCTCCATCCATAGCAACCACAGCGCATGGCTACGGAGTATAGGAACAGAGATACGTGCTTCTGTTCCAACGTTGGCACGCTAGCATCGAAGCCAGCATGCTGACGTCACTGAAGAGATTTGCCCTACTTGGGGATGCATCTCAAACAGGGCAAACCAAAGAAGATGCCAGGTGGTGGGTGTTGCACGAAAGGTAACACCCACAGAGCGGCACTGATGAAATGTTGAATCTTTTCTACATTGAATACATTATGTATCATTGTGATAGTGTATTCGATTTATATGGGGGCAATTTTAAGTTGATTTAAAATGTATATAGGCCTAGGCTTGTCAACAGGTTATAGTTATTTTGGAATTCTATTTGTGACAGACATTGTGATGGCTTACCGTTCCAATCACATCCTGGATGACCCTACTAGGTTACTCGGTACACAAGGAAATCTATATTTCAGGTCTTTCAGCTAATGTGGAAATGGAGTTGGAGAATAATTTCAATATTGATATAATAATAATGCAGATTGTTTCATGAAAGAACAATGTGTGATTTTGAGGTTGTTCCTTTGATTATTTCACTTTAATGCAAGAATGAGATTAATTTAGAATTAAGTAATGCAGCCTTCCAGTTTGCATTGTGACTAGGGAAAGAAAGCCCAAGAATGAAAACCATTTAAAGGGACACTCAACTGCCCAAGTAAAAAATAAATAAAAATAACCACAATTTATACATACCCCAAATGAAAACATGTCAGCATTTAATTAAGCATTTTTTTTTCATTGGGGATATATCTTAAAAGCAGCTTGCAAAAGCTGCATTTTTTTTGGGGGGGGGCCGCTGGCCTCCGCTTCTAACCCTGCCCAGACTATCCACTCCCTAATGCAGCTCAATGAGAAATCTTCTCAAGGCAGGTGCTCAGAGCATTTGGCAGCCCATGGAGTTTAGCACCACTAAGGTAAACAATCCTGGAAGTAACAGGGCCAGTTTTCTGCTTGATAGCTAGTTTCTTTTGAAACCAGAAATTTAAAGGGGGCTGATCATCTTCACACAAAGTATTTGAACAAGCTAAAGTGCTTTTAGGGGGTCTAGAGTGTCCCTTTAAGTTCTCAAATGCTTTGACTATTTAACCCCTTAAGTACACATGACGTGTGACATGTCATAATTCCCTTTTATTCCAGAAGTTTGGTCCTTAAGGGGTTAACCTAGGTTTGTAGTAGTTATTGTACTTTGTGCTTCTTCAACCAGATTAACCTGTTTACCATGTTTATTGTATAAATCTGGTATTGACAAATTTGCTTTGAATGTATGAGCCATGTTTTTTTTTAAACTTACAAAGCTTTATATTAAACAACCACTGCAGTATAGTGTCCCTGCAAACTTTTCAATGTAACTCATGCAGCCACTAGAGGTGCTTCCTGTGTCAGTGCTTTAGTGTGCAGCACCTACATTCAGCGGCTCGACGCTTTGTATGTAGGCTCTGAACGTTCCCCATAGAGAAGCATTGATTCAATGCATCTCTATAAGGAGATGCAGTGTTATGCAGTGCATGCGCAGTAGCCTCCCAATACATTCCTATGGGAAAACATTGGATTGTCTGAGATCATCAGCCAGCCATAGAGGCAGGGCCAGTTGAAAGGAGACCAGCACAGCATATTGGGGGGAGTTTTGTTTTTGTAAAACCCCCTTTCCTTGAGAATGGAAAGGGTCTGGTTGCCTAAACACCCACAATGCCCCTGACTGACTCGCAAGTTGCTTTTTTACATTTATTTATATACCTGTGGGGAATTGTGGAGGTAGGCAACGAGGGAGCTGTAATCTCACTACTCTGCTCCTGCGATGCTTAGTGAGACCAGGGCTGAAATATATAATAACCTGGCCTCACTAAGCGGCGCACAAGGGAGCAGAGCAGTGTGATTATAGCTCCCTTGTTATCCAGCAACAATACACGCAGCCAGCTGCCTCCTCAATCCCCCAGCTTGCCGTCTACCCCGCAGGTACCATGCTAAAATTCCAATGCACCTGGGATTTGTCAAGCCCTGGTATAAATAGTCTCAAACTTCTTCAAAATCTGTTGCAAGATGAGTGTATTCCTTTTGTGATTGTAAGTGCAAGTAGAAAAGGCCACAATGTTACCTCGATTTCAAGGGTTCTGGGATTTTGCATGCTCATAACTGTTAACCCAGAGGGCAAACAATTACTGTGAATAATTTTTTCCTTAATATAGTGGCAGTACTTGCATGGGTGTTGTGTCTTCTAGGAATAAACAGGAATCTCTGTAAAAATCCATCTTAAAATCACATTCAGCCCACTTATTCTTTAAATATAATCTCCAAGGATTACCAGTCACAACAAGAAAACAGACCAAATAACTGCAAAAAGTAAGCAACATGGGATGGGGTGTAGAAGGGCACAGCAGTGCCAGGAAAATTGATGTTTTCCTGGCACTGGAGAGTCCCTTTGAAGGAGGAAAACAAAAACAAAATAAACCACTCACTACGGTAAGTAAAATTGTTTTTCCTGACTTAGATGTGGGATAGAAGTCCCCAAAAGAGTATGAAGATCAATAGACAGTCACCTGAAGCACCTTTCAAGGAAGAGACAACATCTAGCCTGTAATGCTTTATAAAAAAAAAAAAAAAAAAAATTATGACGACCATGTTTCCATTTTACAGATCTCTTCCAGAGAATCAAAAGGAGATTCCACCCATAAAATAGCCATTGCTCTTGTGGCATGAGCTTTGATGGGGAAAAACAATTAAGGTAGATTGACTCTAAGCCACCCAGCTGCTGGTCTAGAAGCCTCCTTGCCTTGAGAAGATCAATGAAAATTAACAAAGATTGTATTCTGCTGAGCAGTGTATATAACATTTAACTCCTGTTCTGAATTTGATGAAGCAGGAAGAATGGGTTGATGAACAGTCTGTTTTGAAATATTTTATAAGGAGCAAAAACCAAAATAGTTTTAGATTTAAAAAAAAATAAATCTGCAGATGATCAAAGTGTTTGTATCTCCTCAACTCTCCTAGCAGATGTGATGGCCACCAGAAATGTTTTCAGACCAAATTTGTAATGGACCTTCACAACTTTCAGGACATCTTGTTTAAAAAAAAATTTAATAAAATGGAAGGTTTAGTAGACAGGTAATTGTGACGCTCACACCAAAATCTTACCAGTGGATGTTCGAATAGAAGAATGAATATCACTTGCAACAGTCTGGCCATCAATCTGAACATCTGTAATGTTTCCATTGGCAGGTCTTTGTTTGCCAGGAGAGGTTCTAAAGTTAGAAGTTCCCAATACAACATCTGTTTTATTCCTGAAAACCAACTTCTGTTTGGGCATTATGGAATAGCCACCAAGACTGTCGGCCCTGTTTTTTTTGTATAATCCTTGCAACAAGAGGCACTGGTTGGAAAATGTAAGCCATGTTTAAATTCCAAGTTATCAATAGGCAGGAGAGTCTTCAGACTGACACGAATACTGCAACCTTCCTTTTACCTTTTCCACTGGAAGATAGTGAAAGGCATCTGGAATCTATTAAAGAACTGAATTCTGGTAGTAGGCTCTATTTGATACTTCCTCCAGTTGATTATACAACTGTGCTTATGTAGAGAGAATTTTATTTTAAAGGGACACTATATATAGTCAGCCAGAACCACTTTAGCTCAATGAAGTGGTCTGGGTGCCAGGTCCCTCTGTTTAACCCTTCAGATGCAAACATAGCAGTTTCAGAGACAGGTCACAAGAGGCGCATCTGCGATGCTGGATGCAAATTTCACATCGATCGCACAGAGCATCCATAGGAAGGCATTGAGAAATGCTTTCCTTTGGACACTTTGACACGGGCGGGGAGGAGAGGTCACCAGTGCAGAGGGAGCCTGGCACTGGATTAAAGTAACTGAATGAGTTTTAACCCCTTCAGTGCCATGGGAGGGGGACTTTAAGGGTGGGGCACCCTCAGGGCACTAGTGTCAGGAAAACTGCTTTGTTTTGCTGACACTATAGTGATCCTTTAAAAAATTTTTAGAATATTTATTCTTTTTAGGAACCAGTCATTGAGGAAAGGAATAAATATCCAAACTACAAGTTCAGTTAATAGAAAACCATCTATGAAGCACCTTCATCACTAGTATTCTGTTATGGTACCAGGAGTGTCATGGCAACCCCCCAGACCTACGAGCACTGCACCCCATCTCCACTACATCCTATGAGAGTCAAACGCCTATAAAGCTACTGGCCAAGAACAGCAGCAGATTGCCCTCAGCCAACATATTAAGTACTATATACCACTGATCAGGATACCTCCAGTTCTTACTAGGAAGTGAGCAGAGTTGAGGAAAAAATAAAAATGAAAAGTCAAGACAGTTTTTGCAACACTATATATATTTGTATGTAACAAAGTCTTAAAATTAACATTCTGGGCACACAAACAACTTAGTGTCACCTGGAGTTTGCTGGCACCTTTAAAGCAGATCTGCCAGTAGTCCTCCAGACAGTTCAGTGAAATGTTTAAGTTTATTGAGAGGCTCTACATTAATTTGCCCCACTATTCAAAAAAATTAAAATAAAACCATGCATTTTACTGCATTCCTTGAATCTTCAGTTAAAAGGGAAGAAAATTAAAAATAATTCCACATCTTTTGCTGTTAATATTTATTGTAAAATATAGAGCCAGATAAACAATGCTAACTGCCCAGTCAGTCAGTCTGCAAACAGCTTTTATAAAAACATATTTAAAGCACATATCTAAAACAGACAATTTACAAAAACGTAAAAATTATAAAAGTACTAAAAATAAACTTTGTTTCATAATTCTGTTATTTGGATAATTTACCAAAAAGTGATTGAGTTACAAAAACAAAGTTTTCATTATTGCAATAACTGTACATGGTTTACTTGTATTACTATACATTAAAAAAAGTCCTTTCCTTGAAGTTATGAGAATATAGACAGTGTCTCTGGAGGGTCAGTTAGTGATACACCATACCACCTACAAAACAAAAATACAGTATTAGTGGTCTGATAAGCAAGTTAATGTGAACTTTGCTAGTAGAATAATATTAGGATTTCAGTTATAGGATTACAGGGCAGCAGAAACCATGGTTAACACTCATTTTTTCCCCAGAGGTGCACTACATTTGGGAGTTTGAGAACTGCTTCTAGTTTTGCAGTAAATGTATATAGCTTAACAGCATGGTTTGCAGAGATTCTATACACAAGTCTGCACAATATGTACTCTTGCACAGAGTTATATTCGAGTTAGGGAAGATATAAAATAAAAAATCCTGCACCATGACTAAAATTAACTGAACCTGCAGGCTTTTACTTATTGTTTAGTAGACATGCTTACTCAGCCTTGCCAGATAAAGCTGCTGAGAAACGCTCTTCCCAACATCACACCAGGTCTAGTGATCAGTAAGACTTAGAGTCTCAGTTGAGCATACTCCTGATATAGAAAGCGCTCAGCCTATGAGTGCACCCATACCTGGTATGGATTGGTACAGAGTGAGATTTTGTCAAAGGATAAGCTTCAGGGGAGCAAGCAGGTCTTTCTACTACAATGAGTAGACAGTTTAGTATTAAGTTCAGTGTAGACTCAACTTGAAGTAGTTATGGTGCATAGTGTTCTTTTAGGCTATAAAAGTGGTCAGTGAGACCAATGGAGCATTCTACATTTTGTGAAAGTGTAACTGCAAGCAGCACTTACTTTTGATGCTTGTATTTCTCATGAACAGCCTGCTGCTGGTGGTTTGCAGCAGAAACATAGGCCTGGTAGAGATCCATGATACAGGGTTTGAGGCTCTCCAATGAATAGTTTGTTAGCTGGACCAGAGACTCCGACTGGTGGAGAAATGAAATTGAGTGGTCAGACAACATTAAGGATCCAAGCCATGACATTTCACATTAGAAATGTGTTTGTGTAGAGATTGTTCACGATACAAAGTTTTTCCCCTTGAATCTTCAGAGAACATTTCAAGCACATAGAGCTTGCGGTAGTGCTTAAGTGTTAAAATTCCTGGACAGGTAATTTAAGTTATATCTTTGTCTTACATTCCTGGTTGTAAGTGGTTCCTGTCTCGCTTGCTTTGAATTACAGTGGAAATTATAGGCTGTGCTGACCTATTTAAATACTTCTCAATGTGTTGTAGAATGTTGCTCATGAACTCTCACTAGTTGCATGCATATGCAGTTTGTGCACCAACCTTCTTAGTGTCCAATAGACTGGGACATTTTGCTCAAAAGGGAAACTTGAGTAGCCACAGTCCTGTGGCCAAGTAGATTTTTTTGACACCTGATTAAAGATATTCAATGCATATCTGATTGTATTTACCAACCAGTCAATTTTTATGGAGCATTGCTTTTAAGGGCATGCGCACCTCGGTTTATAACATAAAGCAATTTTGTACACCCAAGAAGCAAGCTGATACATACCCAAGTTTCATCATTGATTGTGTAGTTTGCGATTACATAGGCTGCTGCAGCAGTAACTGATGGCAGGTATTTGAGAAAAGGATCCGCATCTATCAAGCTGATCTCTCCTAGGTACTATGAGAAAAACAAGTTGCATAAGGTGACAATAAAAGTAAGATGAATGCTGGATGTTAATGGCAGTATGTTAAAGGAACACAAACATGTACTCTGACTAGTGTTAAAACCACCATCTAGCCCATTCTTGCTTTCCTAAATATAGAATATAACTTATTCAAGTCTGCAGGTGCTGGCTCTGCGCCTGCCTCTGACAGATGTTGTGGTCTGAGCCAATCACAATGCTTCTGCATAGAATTGGCTGAGCCTATCAAGGAGGCAGATCAGGGGCAGAGCCAGCACAAGTCAAACAGCATCTCCTCAAATTAGTTGAATCAACGCATCTGAGGAAGTTCAGTGCTTTCATGCAGTGGGTGGAGACAATGAATGGCAGCATTGCCCCAGGAAGCACCTGGTAGCCATCTGAGTGGCCAGTGAAGGTATCCCTAGGCTGTAATGTAAACACTTTTCCAGAGATAAGGCAGTTACTGCAACAAGCCTGAAAGTAATGATTCTACTCACCAGAATACAATAAGCTGTAGTTCTGGTGACTATCACGTCCCTTTAATCATGCAAATGAAGCAAAAGCTCTAACGAGTTTATATTGACCAAGGATGAGATCTTAAGTATTGATATCAAGTTGCATGGTCCCCATTATTGGGGATAGAAACCAGTTTTAAATGGTACACTTGCATGTTCTAGTTCAATAACTAGTTAAGCAAAGACATGTTCACATTTTAATGGAAAGATCTCACTTCTGGATTGTTTCATTTAGTAGTCTATATTGCAGATTGCTTTTGAATACTGTATGCACGCCTTCAAGCCAAGAATGGCGTTTACATAGATTTTAACCTAGTGCATTAAATGCAGTTTATCAGTGTCCATTCTGAAATGGATAGGTATGACACTTACCATACACAAGCATTCAGTTTTGCGAGATACAGGATGTGCTTGGAAATATTGGTTGAGGTACTGTAGAATTGTTGGAGCAGCAAGGTCAAAGGAAAGCACTTTCAGCACCAAGTGCTCCATTTTTAGAACTTGTTTCTTAGTGTATGTATCATCTGTAATGTATACGAACTCTGCAACTTCAGGAGGATAGATCTCTTCAAATTTTCTGTGTGTAAAGAAATCTAGAGTTTAGACCAACAGAAACTGACATTGGTATATGAAGTTATATAAAATACATGCTGTTTGTTATTCAGATATTTATGGCCATGAATTTACCAGTAGAAAGAAAGTGTGTTTAAGCAAATTTTAATGCAATATGGAGAAAGAAAGAAAAAGGCTACTTCTCAGCCTTCCAAATATTGGATTCTAAAATATACGAGAAAATGGTAGTTACTAGAAGGTGGTAAATTTACTAAGGGCACGCAAGAAAATTGGGCGGACTAGATGGGCAGAATGGTTCTTATCTGCCGTCATATTCTATTTTGGACAATATAATGTAGTGGCATTGTTTTCTTGTGGTATTTGTAATATATTGCCTTCTGTATTAATGTCTGGATTCTTAACCAGAACAAGTTTACTTGAATAATGAACGATTGAGTATTTGATATGGATTTTGGTAGAGGTTTAAACAGAAAACCAAAGGACAAGATTCTGTTACAGGCAATGTGAGATGAGATGTTTTATGCAACTTACAACTACAGCCAAATGTACAAGTTATGCATGTGTACAAGACACTGTACACATTCAGGACACTAAGCACCAACACAACTTATGCAAAATGAAAATCTTAGTATATAGATAGTGCCCCTGCAGTTGCACTGCTCAATGCAGTTGCATTATAACCATTTCATCCCTTTGAATGGTTATAGTGCCTGGAGTCCCCGGCACTGTCCCTCCATTCAGTGTCAAGTCATTTTAGATCAGTTTAATATTAAATAAAGGTCCATGGCCACCCATGGTACAGCCCTTTCTGAAGGTGTGGCTAAGGCAGATTATACACATACTTCAAATTACACCATTACTTCATACCATTAGCTGAGGCTCTAATAGGCTAAAAGCAGTCGGCCTGAGCAGCTGCGATTGGGTTAGCACTTCATTAGCCAAATCAGCACAGAGTGGATGGGCTGCTGAGAACTCACTTAGCATTAAAACCAGCTTAATTCTGCATGAAATAGCACCAGGGGATTCTAGACACTAGTCCATTTAAGATGAATTAGATTGTAGTTTCAGTGTCCCTTTAAGTCACTGTTCATACAGCCAAAACAATGCCTCTACTGTAAGCATATAAATTTAGCTTAATAAATCAGGTTTAGAGTGTTAAGAGAAACACTCTTACATTGAACCAAACTGCATTTATAATTACAATGACCATGTTAGAGTAAGTACATAAAATAGGTGGAACACGTCTGATGATTACTTGACTTAGGGGATTTTAAAGGCACTGCTGTTAAAATTCCCCAAGTCAAGTAATCAGATGTGTTCCACCCATTGTATGTATTTGTTTAGAGTGGTAAAAGGGGTTCCCACTCAAGTGGTTTATAGCATTTATTGCCAGCACATTTTTCCCCACATATTGTGTATTGTATTTTCTATGTTAAATGTTAGAGTAAGTAACTAGCGTCCCAACACCCATAAGCATTTAGTAATGGCGTCATGGTGATTGTTTAGGAAATTGACAAAGCTAAAATATATAGTTCAGAAAACTTGGCAGTCCCATTAATGAGTGACTCTAAACCTTCTGTATCTTAAGACTTTCAGAAAAGTGTGCAATGATGTCAGATGTAAGTTTTGCACAAAAAAACTTACATTAGGAAGCCTGGACTCTGTTCTGATAATGTATACCAGTGTGTAATTAGACACAAAACTACAGATCTCTGAATTTTCAGTATCAGCTTGCGCTCCTTGTAGAGTCAAAGTTTGTGGGAATATTTCAGAGGGACATCTGTTAGACTTGTGCATGTGTGATCAGACATCTGTAAGTTTCAGCAGTTTGCCAGAACCAAATTAATCTTGAATGACCACATAACTATCTGGAACTTTTAGCATATAAAAAAAACAAAAAAAAAAGCCCAGAAATGGCCCTCTAACCACTCAAAGGTCTATGGGTTGTGCAGCTCACCGTCCAGGGAGCTATTAGACTGACTCCCCCAAAAGTAACAACTTTGCTATATTACCAGCCTGGAGAGTAACCAAAGGTTACCTGTCTATCCATGTAGCAGGAAGACAAAATTCAGTTTGTGGAATTTATTTTAAGTTTGGACTAGCAGAATTTCTGTGCACAAGTTTACAAGCCATTGATCTGGCAAGTATAAATACTTACGAAGCTAAAAGCATAGCAGCAGTGCCAACCAGTTGAAGTTTCCCTCTGAGTACAGACATTGACGAAAGAAACCTATCAATGTAGTTTACAGCCAGATACAATGTTTCATTTTGCAACTTATACTCTTCTCCAACTTCCACCAGCCAGTCAACAAGGATTGCCCGCATGTTGCTAGTAATGTCAGGCTGTTTATTCAGGTAGCCAGATTTGGGTTTACATTTTATCTGCAATAATGAAACACAACAGTCAGGAAATAGTTTTTTCCAGGGTCATGCAAGTAGCTTCAATTAAGGGACACTAACCACAAAGACAATCTTAATGAAGCAGTTTTAGGGTATAGATCATGCCTCTGAAATCTCACTGCTCAATGATCTGCCATTTAGGAGTTAAATCACTTGTTTCTGTTTATGGACCTCAGGTGACACCTCCACTGAGACTCAAAGTCTGCATGAAAACAATGGTTTCACGTATCTCCTGCTCTGTAATTTGAACTTTAATCACATACAGGGAGCTCCTATATAGAGTCTAGCAAGTTATTGAGGGGAGCTAAATTCAAAATTAGCTTACAATAGAGGAAATGTTTACATTAGATGACTCTACAAGGAGTGTTTAGCTCCTTGTAGAGCCTCCTTGTACAGGGAGGTGTGATTAAGGCTGAACAAACAAAGTAACAACTCAAATGGCAGAGAATTAAGCAGTGTGACTGAAGGCATGATCTGTATAAAAGAATTGCTTTATTACATGGACACTACAGTTGCCAGCACAACTACAGGTTATTGTATTTGTTCTGGCAAGAATAAGATTTTACTGACTTTTTGCAGTAAACAGTCTTTGCAGAGAAAAGGCAGTGTTTACATTATAGCTTAGGGACACCTTCACTGGCCACTTCTCAGATGGCTACTAGAGGTACTTCCTAGGGCAGTGCTGCACAGTGAGCAACACTACCATTCACTGTCTCCACCCTCTGCATGCAGACACTGAACTTTCCTCATAGAGATGAATTGATTAAATAAATGCATCTCTATGATGAGATGCATATTGGCCAGGGCGGTGTTTGAATCATGCTGGCTCTGCCTCCTTGACAGTCTCAGCCAATTCTATGGGGAAGCATTGTGATTAGCTAAGACCACAACTTCTGATGTCAACAGGCAGGACAGAAGCAGATTGAGCACAGCCAGCAGCAGCAGACTTTAAAATAGAAGATTTCACAGTATTTAGGGAAGCAAGAAGGGGCTAGATTTTGGTTTTACTGTGCAGCACTGCCATTCAGCATCTCCAGCCTCTGCATGCAAACACTGAACTTTCTTCATAGAGATGCATTGATTCAATTAAGCTCTACAAGGATATGCTGAGTGGCAGTGTTTGGCTTGTGGTGGCTGCCTCACATCTGCCTCCTTGACAGTCTCAACAAATAATACAGGCTCAGAGAATCACTTCTGATGTCAGTCAAGCAGGCAGATTAGGGGCAGAGCCAGCAGCTGCATACTAAAAAGCAAGATGGTACTATATTTACAGGGTATGGGAGGAGGGAGAGCAGGGTGTCTAGATTATGTCTAACACTATAGTGTCAGGAATACATATTAGTATTCTTGACCCTATAGTGTCCCTTTAAGCTAAAAGTTGTTTTGTGACTAGTGTCCCTTTAACTTCATCTATTAAGATGTGGTCTCAGCAAGAAGATAGCCAGTATCTGTATCAGTGCTGCCACCAGGCTCTGCAGAAGCTAGTCTTAGCACAAATACTTGCTGTAGCCAAGCACCTTTCTGTTCTGTCAGAAGTAGTGAACATGGGCAGTGCCCAGTGGACCAAAGGTTTATATAAAAAAAAAATAAAAGTCAGTCTATTTGTAGTGGGATGGCACCTGAAGTGTTTCATTAATGTTTTTCATGTTTAAAACATTGGAGGTCAACAATCTGGGTTGATCACACCTTTATACACACTAGATCTTAAACATGCTTGCAGCAAACCCCCATTGCCAGCTACATTAAGGTTGTCTCAAGCTTGTAACAGCCAGCATGCCCGATAATCTATTTTTCCCCCCACACAAGAGGTAACAGTGTCCCAGCTGATTGTTTTGACCTCATAACTCAGATTGTATGGATGAAACTAGAGTAGACAGACACTGTCTGAATTGGTGTCACATGGTTCAACAAGGAAGAGTAAATACCTCCATTTCTCGGATATACGTGTGAATTTCAGTTCTGTAGTCAGGAACTGGATTACAACGCTCAGTTTTGTCCTCTTCAACGACAATGGACATATCCATAGGAGAATCTGAAAAGCAGTCATAGGACTCTTTAAAAGTAGTAAGATTCGTGTTTCAGCCACCCTGTACATACATCTTTGTGTTTAGAAGACTTCTGGAGTCCATTGTAATTTTGCAGTTTACTGTTCTATTACTTTCAAATTTAATCACGTTTGAGATAGTTATTTTACAGTTGTTCTGAATACCTAGACAATTGTTTTAAGCTGCACAATGTAACATTAAGATACGTCACCTTCGTTTTGACTGAGGTTTCATAGAGAGGAAACATTGAAATGTTATGAATAATTTAAACTGTGCATGTTACCAATACACTAGCTTTACGTACCAAAGCTGGAATCCATGGGTAGCTGAATTGGCGCAAGGGGTTGTCTAGTTCCAAGAGATATTACCACAGAGTTTAGTTTCCGCAGATTTTCATCCAATACTGGCTTTTTAACAACTGGCTGTTTCTTCTGATTGGCACAGTCTGGCTCATCGACGTGTATAGTGAATGTTGGCTGTTTGCTAGCCGCTTTTGCAGCTGGGATCTTGCCATAATTTTCATCGTTTATGCCCAGAGGATTGTGTACTGAAAGAAACTGAAAAACCAAATGTTACTTTACTTTCTGTTGAAAATACACACCCAAATAGCCACACGAAATCTTGCATGAAAAGCACAATAGCCCAGTAACTTGTTTATTCATATTAACTAGAATTTTTCTGCAGAAGGGTTAAATTGAGCATTGTTTCATAGTGAAGTTCAGCATACTGTAAGCACCATGATCACTTCGTCATTTAAAGGAACACTAGTCTTAGGTATACAAAAGGTGTATTCCTGACACAGTCTACTTAGCCATTTAGTCCACCAGACCTTCTTGCCTCCAGTTAAAAAGCAGAGTTACTTACCCGTTTCCAGCCCCACCCACACTGCACCCCTTTGGCAGAGAGCAAACCTTACACACTCAGCCAATACAATGCTTTACCATAGGAAAGCAATTGGAGGCTACCATGAATGCATGGCAAAACTCCTTGGGGAACATTCAGCGGCTCCATGTAAAACACTGCAGCACTGTCCCAGGAAGCACCTTTAGTGGCAGTCTACGTGACTACTGCTGGATGTCCCAAGGCATTAGTGTAAACACTGCCTTCTCTGTAAAGGCAGTGTTCCCATTAAAATGCCTGCAGGGACATATAGAAACCAGAAGTACATCAAGCTGTAGCTCTGGTGACTATAGTGTCCCTTTAAGTGGTCACGGTGCATTGAGATACCCTTTAAGTCACAAGAGGCTGTTGCAGACGCTAGCATGCGATAAATTCTAGATTAAACACTGTAAAGAGGGATAAAAAAAAAGAAAAAGGCATCATCAGGAAGTGAGTAGAGACATGAGTTACTCTGGGTAGGCATGGCTACAATAACGGATTTAAAGCAGCTCACTTAGTATAAGTGGGCATGTCCCATCCCCTTGTCTGTTGTCACCCACGACCCTTTTTAGCAAAGTTATAGAAATAGGAACCATTTCAGATTTACAAACAGTTGACATAATGGCACTTTTAGTCAATCTCCATGGCCTTTATCATTGTATGATTACATTCACCTCCCTCCAGCCACATCAATATCCTGAAGTGGCACATCAAGGAACCTCGGTGATGTCAGGACAGTGGAAGTGGTCAGTGCATAACGTCAAGAGCAAAACATGGGATGCCCAGTTGCCACCATCTTCTAAACTAAGAAGGCTCTGCTAAAAAAAAAAAAAAAAGGCTTAAAGGGACTTGAAAACCTATAAATAAATGGCCATAAATAATGATGTTGGAGAGAATGATGTTGAAATGGGTAAAGGGCTAGAGGAAGCGATCCCTTTGCCGGGCATTGCCAGACACTGCATGTTGCTCAAGCACAAGTGTCACAGCAGTGGTTGTGCAAATATAGTTGTGTGATGCCAACTACTTTTACTCAATTCAGGTGAGTTCACCCTAGACTTACATGGGGAATGGAGTGACCTTGCAAAGCAACACTGGCAGGTCACTGCAGAGCAGCATGTGTGCAGAGCTCAGACCGAGCCAGCCAGTGTGCTAATGAAGCTGCTTTGTGTTCAGCAGACCATCTGCAGGGACAGCACACTCAGACACAGCTCATCTGCATTTCTCCCAAACGGCGGAAAGGCAACAAATGGACTTCCTACATACATAGACCTGTTACATCGGCACCATGCAGTGTGTTTTACACCCCCATCCCTCCATAGTTAAATTGTAATATCTAACCAAGCATTGCCCAGCTGTATGTGTTCTATCAATGCAGATTAATCACAGTAATTATTAGTCTGGATGAGAGGGCCAGCCACAGATACCAATACCAATCGATAGCTATGGCAGGTTAAATTGGCGGGATGGCTGGCAGCCACACACATGACTCCCAGCCAGACACTATTCACAATGTGTCAATGCTGGAGATCAACACATGGTCATGGATCTCAATGCAGGGAGCCCCCTCCACCTCAGCTGCCGAGTATAATAAGCCCTGAGAGTGATGGGAGTTGTAATATGACCTATGCACCCCGGATACAGTCCCTATCAGCATGCCCCTAGCTAGGCCCCAGCTCCCCGGCTGGCTGTCTCTCTCTCCCCCCCGGTCTCTGGCTGGCCGGGGGTCTCAGTACCTGTGCTGGCTGTGCTCCCATGCTCTTGGTGACTTTGGGCAGGACCCGGCCGCGCTGGTTCCCGTGCAGCACTCCGAGCACGGTCCGCCCTCTGGGGGCCGCGGATTGGGCCACGCCGTGCTTCCCGGGCTGCACATTCTCCTGGTTCTCCCGCCTCAGCAGATGCTCGGACATATCGCGATGTCAGCCCCGGAGAGGGCGCTCGGTGACCGGGTGCTCGGGGAGGGCTCGGCCCGGGGGGGTGGGTGGGTTAGAGGCTGCGGTGTGCGTGGCCCCGGCCCTGCCTGCCTGCTAGTGGAGCCTCTCCGGTGTGGCCGTGTGCCCGGTGCCGCCTGGCCTCCCTGCAGATCCGCTCACTGTGCACAAGGCCCGACCGATCTACTATCACTACTACCCGCCTGCGATAACTTGGCGCTACACCAGGCACTGCTTTCTCAGTTCAAGTAGCCCGCGTCTATTGAAATCAGCCAATCAGAGCACAGCCCAGGTTGACGTCACAGATTCTACGGCGGCCCGGATGGACGAGAAAAGGGGAGAGATCAGCTGTCTGGTCGTGACGTCACTTTGGGGGGTGGAGCAGAACGATTAGAGCCATCTGTGCGTTCCATTGGAAGTGACAAATGCACAAGGGAGAATAGGCGAGCTGCACTGGGCACATGTTCTCAGTTTGGGCTATGGCGGCCCAACATTTGTGATTAAATTATACGTTCCTATAGGGTTATTCACTAGACTCCAATTTTTTTTAGAAATTAAAGGCGAATGGAAAAACTGAGGCAGAAATAGCTGATCTGGAAACAGCATCCCCCAACTCAGCCATTGTTATAACTTGGCTCTTATTTAATTTGCAAAAATCCAGAGTTTAATGAATTGTCCTGCAAATGTGAATTCTTCTGAATTTCAAATTTTAGTCTGAAATAGAAAAGAAATTACATTTGCGTAAAGTGAGAGTAAAAGGGGCACATTTGAACTGGATCACTGCTGACCATATCCAAATGTACCAGTTTTGGATTAATTCTGGTGAAAGTTCAAGCGTACTGGCATGATGAACGATTACTGTGTATATAGGCAATGGCGAAATATATGCACGAAACAAACAAAATTGGCCAAGGTCCAATATTTCTGTGAAAATCTGAACAATAATCTATCAAATAAAAAAGAAGGATATAGGCTCTCACTAAAAAAACAATAAGTGTGAAAGGCAGCAGTGAACCTGCAGGACTTCCCAATGCCTGCTATGTAGTGAAAGTGAAAAAGAAAATAGTGGTAAACCGCGCCGAAAGAAAAGTGATCAAATAATCATATTTATAAATACATATCGTTCTTGAATTCTACAGCATTTGAAAACCTCAAAAAGGAAAGAACAATAAACAATAATAATGCAGTATGTTAAAAATATTATAATGGTGTATAAATAAAGTAGACTGTGAGTGAAGAGCAAACTCACACTTTACAGAGCTGCTAAGAGCTCTGCTGTATAGCGCTGTGAAAATCTGAACAATAATCTATCAAATAAAAAAGAAGGATATAGGCGCTCACTAAAAAAACAATAAGTGTGAAAGGCAGCAGTGAACCAGCAGGACTTCCCAATGCCTGCTATGTAGTGAAAGTGAAAAAGAAAATAGTGGTAAACCGCGCCGAAAGAAAAGTGATCAAATAATCATATTTATACATACATATCGTTCTTGAATTTTACAGCATTTGAAAACCTCAAAAAGGAAAGAACAATAAACAATAATAGTGCAGTATGTTAAAAATATTATAATGGTGTATAAATAAAATAGACTGTGAGTGAAGAGCAAACTCACACTTTACAGAGCTGCTAAGAGCTCTGCCGTATAGCGCCTGGACGGTACAATCCCCGTCTTAGGATCTGAATATACCGGGAGGTCCAAATTCAGCGGTCATATATATGTGGAAAAAGAACAAAATATACAGAAAAATGGTACAGTATCATAAGCTAGAAATAATATAGGAAAATGTAGGTATCCTACTTACAATATCCAGAGCAATGACTTGCTCTGGTGATGACAGCTTGTGGTGGTATAATCCCCACCAAGGATATAGCAGGAAAACAGCAGCACCAGAAGATATGCAGAAGCCAAGGGATTTGAAAAAAAAGCATTCAATTTATTAATAAAAAATATATATTAAAATATATATGGGTAAAAGTATATATAAAACATATACTGCAGCTTCAAATCCTATCCTTGACGCGTTTCGCCCGGGTATGGGCTTTTTCAAAAGAGAGCAAAATTGCGCCCCCACCCCCTACCTCCCCTTCTCTCCCCCGATCCGTGCTCCCCCATACCCACCGACACATACATACAGACACACACACAGACAGACAAACACACACATACATACACCCCTGACAGACACATACATACAGACACACACATATATACACGGACAGACACACACATACACACACATACAGAGACACACACACATATACAGACACACACACACATACAGAGAGAAACACACACAGAGACACAGACACACACACATACATACAGAGACACAAACACATACAGAGACACAGACACATATATACAGAGACACAGACACACATACATACAGAGACACAGACACACACATACAGAGAGAGACAGACACACACACATACAAAGACACAGACACATACATACAGACACACACATATATACACGGACAGACACACACATACACACACATACAGAGACACACACACATATACAGACACACACACACATACAGAGAGAAACACACACAGAGACACAGACACACACACATACATACAGAGACACAAACACATACAGAGACACAGACACATATATACAGAGACACAGACACACATACATACAGAGACACAGACACACACATACAGAGAGAGACAGACACACACACATACAAAGACACAGACACATACAGAGATATACAAAATGTTTCCTACCTTGTGACTTTCCCTGGGGGCTCCGCCTGATGGGAGTTAGAGTTCCCACTCTGACTCCTTCCTCCTGCGCGGGTCCTGATAGCTGGGAGGAGTGACCGGGGAATCACTTCCTCCCAGCTTGTGATGTAATCCAAATCCATCAGGTGGCCCTGACAGCATGGGCCACCCGATGGACCCCTCCAAATGCGGCAGCCCCCTGGAGTGCCGTGCCCAGTCGCAGCTGGGACCCCTGCGATCGCGGTATGTACGCCGCTAGCTATGAATCTTTGGGTGCTATCCTTTTGTTTTCTGTCAAACCATTTTGAAACAGTGTGACAAATCAAGGCTTTGCCCAGCACTCTTGATCTGCCCCCAATGCAGCTGATCTGATAATGCATCATCACATGCAAATCCATCCAAACTTGGATGGCCATGATAGGCTGATTAAGGTAGGATTGTATATAGATCTCCAGATGTGACAATAGAATGTCAACTATATTATTATTATTATTTATAAATCACCAACAAATTTTGCAGCGCTGTACAATAGGTGGACTAACAGATATGTATTTGCAACAACTCAAATTGGACGCATAGGAACCGAGGGTGTTGAGGGCCAGGGCTGTATCTACCGCGAGGCAAATAAGGCATTTGCTTTGGGCGGCACTTTCCAGGGGGTGGCAAAAAACAACGCCCCCAAATGCCCAGGCTAATGCCTTGTTTGCCTCATTTTATGGGGGCCACCTTTGGGCCCTCCCCCGAGGCAGTTGTTTCCCGGGCGGCGAGGGAGCTCTTTCCCCTGAGCACTCCTGCTCAGCTCCCTCGCGCAACCCGTAGTGATACCTGGAGCCGGAATATAACTTCAGTCCGGCTCCCGGCATCACTCTGCGGCGCGCGAGGGAGCTGAGCAGGGAGATTACAGTTCCCTCACTGACAGCTTAGTCCGACCGTCCGCTGGATTTACATTTTTACAAAAATAATAATAATTGTGAGTGTTGGGGGAAAATGTGTGTGTGTGTGTGAGTGAGTGTGTCAGTGAATGAGAGTGTGTGTGTGTCAGTGAATGTGAGTGAATGTAAGTGTGTGTGTGCCCATGGGCGTAGGAACCGGGGGGGATAGGTGGGACGCATCCCCCCCAGCAAATCATGCGGGGGGGACAGGTTATGGGGAAATCCCCCCCAGCTCCACCGGCCCCCCCATGCTGCAGCCGCCCGAGCGCTCTGTAGAGAGCCTCAAGAGGCTGCAGCTTTGCCCGGGCGGTGCGTCCATGAGGGCGGACCGGACCGCACCGCCCAGGCGCAGCCTGAGGAGAGGGGCTGACAGGAGGGAAGCGCTTAGCGTGGCCGAGCCCTGTATGGTCCG